GGCACATGTTTCTTTCAAACGTGATTCTTGCCCGCATGATTCTTGCATACGGGAAAGCTGAACTTTCACGAACAATAGTGACGTTTATATCATTTTCTTTCGTACGAGTTTCTCTGCTAAATGCTTTCTTTCCTACGTAGTTTCCTGCCAAAGAGTGTTCTGCACTCCGCTCTACGTGATTTCTGGCCTAGGAGTTTCTTGCCAACGTGCCTCTCCCGTATTAACTCTGGGGGAACGTTCCCACAACGTAACTATGTTTGCTGGGAAGGGGGAACGGGGAGAGAAACTAGTATTTTCCTAGCTTCCCCTCTATCATACCCAGAAATTACTTTCGGGCGTGGGGGTTGCGAATGCATAAGACCATTGGACCGGAGTTATAAGCTAGAAACGAACTTCGAGGGACACCATCCCTACCCTCTTGCTACGCCACTGAAACTGTGTGGTCATGTGGTTCCGAGTTGTGTTCGTCTCAGTGGACGGTGTCCTTGTGAGAGCAACTAGTTCATTTCATCACACCTAGAAGTCACAAATCTCAGACTTAGGTTTGAAAATAAGTTTTTTTCATTTACCTGAAAAATTTATTATTATTATAGTTTATTGACTTTGCTGGAGCTGAAGGAAAAGGAAAGAAAAAGGGAGTCAGTTCATGATCACGTCTCTTCAATGGTTTCGGCATCCCTGGGATACACATGACTTGCATTGGTGGCGAGCAATAGCGAGCAACAAAGGGCCTAGGGGGAGAGAGCACGTGTGTAGCTTTGCTCGCCGATTGCAAGTGAGGCATCCCATGTGAAGGCCCTAAACTTCAGTTCCTATTGTTCTTCTTGGCGTTTCCCGTCCTGTGTTATATCCTACTTTTTCTTTAATCCTGTCACGATCTGGATTTCAAGAATGGGAATCAGCGTGAGCAAAGTCATGCAGGAAAACTTAGAAAAGAATCAGGAGTTCATGCTCGAAATGCAGAAGATACAGGTGACAATATTTGATTCTGGGATTAATTTCCCAGGTGTGCATATGACCCATGGCACATTAAATTCAATTGTGTGGTCCTCTTGGATAAACAGGTGGAGAGACAAATCCAAATGCAGAATCAGATGCGGGAACGGATGATGGCCATGCAACTTGCCCGTTCGCGAGAGTTTTTCTACTGGTTTCTGGGTTTCTATGGTGTCTGCACAGCTGGAATGCTCCTAGGGTAAAGTGCTGTCTTTTTTTCTGCCATAGTATGGAGGGCCTATTATAAATCTGTCCCACCTTTTGGCAAACTCCAAAGAATTGGCATTTCACACCAATCAACAGCAGAAAGGTCATTATGAATGCCTCATTACTGAAATGTGTTTGTTTGCAAACCTCCAAAGGACATTCTTGGGAATTTTTTGTATTAAACATGGAGATAGCCATTCATCTGATCAAAAAGGAAAAAAACTAAGACTTGGATACTCCTTAAGTTAACAGCCCTTTAATGTTATATGAACTCCTATGGGGAAGGGATCCAAGACCTAAATGAGGTTCATGCATTTAGGTTGAAGGAGTCATAATGTGTGGTGATGTCAATATTGACTTTCTCCAAGAAATTAGTACAAGTAATGCTTGATGCATTTATATGCAGTGGTGTAGATAAGGAGAGGGGTCAGGGAGACCTGGGCCATTCTATGGCTCTCAAAATGCTCTTGTGGAGGCCTGCTGACCATATTGATTTGGGAGATTGTGAGAAGTGAAGCTATGTTGGCTACCATTTTTACTGTTGTGTCACTGACCATCTGATGTTTTATTTCTGGTGTTCTTTTTCCACTTGTAGGTCTCCATAAGATTTGGGCATTTTATGTCTTGTATTCTGTTTGTTGCCTTGGGTGCAGATATCGAACAACTCGTCAGAAACGGGTGTTGTTACCCCTAGTCCCCCTCACCTTCATACTATCCTACCAAGCTGACCTTTGCTATGGAAGCAAACTCAAAAGGATACAAGGTACCAGGATTCCCTTGAATCATTGTTTGAATGAAGCTGTCTGTTTTACTAAGATGTTTTTGCATCACTGTAGTGGAAGCAGAGCAAATTATGGAGTTTGAGCATGATTCCTTGGAGATGCCATTTGGAGTCCCATCTCTGTCTTCCATTGATCAAGCAAGAATGAGACAGAGTGATGAGAGGCGTTTGAAGAAGGTCCATGACATATACTTCTAGGATTGTTCCTGTTTCACCTTCATCTAGAGCTGTCTTCNAGTTCTTTTATATGAATTTAATGGTAGAAAGTATCCTTTGGATTGAACCTATTTTTTTCAATAGGTAACATAATGCTTATTAAGCAACTTCTAATTCACAAGTTGAACTTGTTAGATTTTCCCATTTCACAAATTCATCAATAGGTTTCTTTTGAAAATTTAAAAACTCTCCACTTGTGTTGGATGAACACAAAAGGGAATACTTAATATGGTACTCAGAAGTACTGTCAGTCAAATACCAGTTTCATGACATTTTCCCCACCTGGAGCCAAAACTGCAAAATTATCCCAATTTCTTAATAATATGGCATGAAAAAAAAAATGCAGTGGGAAGGAAAAGTAATGGGAAAATACTTTCACCACCACAGATCCCAAGCTCCAAGGCTGTTTGGCCTTTCTGTTTTGTTCTAGAGTCAAAATCAGTGACAACCAATGAGAATATATTCTTCCACTTGTGCCTTAGCTAGTGCTCCCATGCAATTGCCACTTCAGCTTGCATATGTCACCCTACATGCTTATACTACTATTTGGGCATTTTATTAATTATGGTTACCTCTTCTGATGTAAGCCATGCAGCTTTGGCTGGAGGGGGGGAGGCAAATGAAGTGTGAAGCATGCCATATACCCGGAGACACATTATTAAACTTCACGTAGCTGCATGATAGCTGTGAGTATCATCAATCGCTCACATGTTTATTGAGAATCAGTATTCTCTTCCAATATGTGACCTCCCTGTTTCTACAACCAGAGGTGACCCTTGTCTAAGACTATTTGCAACAGCAAATTGTAATGCCTTAAATAGGCTGTGTGAGAAATTAATTAAATTTTAGCTAATACAAATTTCAAATTCCAAATTTGAAGACATAATCTCTGCATGGGATGAAATGAGTGCATTATACAGGGTCTGTCAACAGCAAAAAAAAAGGAAGAGACTTTGAATATTTCCTTCAAGCAAACCAGAAGGCCTATTTCATGGAAAGTTGGAAAAAATACTCTCTTTTATCTTCAAGTAGTGGTTCTGTTTCATTGCTCTAGCTTCAGCAATTAACAAGTAGTCACACATTTGGCCTTGAACTTCAGACATAAGTTGTGCATGCCCTGTTCCTCAAGCTAATCACAGAACTGCAAAGGAGATGATGCAATTGCACTGCTGGTATTATTAGCACTAGGAGAACATAAAATTGGTGAGCCCAATGATTGGGGGTTTCAATGAATATATCAAATGGACCATAATTAATACAGATTTCGGGTTGATCAGTGAAATTAATTTTAAAAGCACCTAAAATGAGGTGCACTATGTACAATATACCACACCTTTGAAAGATTCCTGTGATGAGGGGATATCATATAAAGTGACAAAAATTGACATCCCTACCATGTATTTTGTTAATTTCTTTTGTTCATATCATTTGTTTTAATTTTCTCTTTTTCTTTCAATTTTAATGGATAACTTCAAATAAACAGTAATGAAGAAATA